AACCCAACCCCCCCGGGGAAAAGGGCACTTACCGAAAAGGGTTCACCAGAAAAACCAATACAAGTTTAAACCATAAAAAAAAATGTTAAAGCCATTTCCCCCACTACCAACACTAATCACACACGAGTCATGCAGAGCCACAAGCATAAAGCAAATGGACTGGCCTGTAGGCAAACGTTTTCCCTCCACCCCAAGTATTCATGGTTCAATCTGGCTGGGTGGAAAACAATTGGGCAATGTGTCCTTACACCTGCGGTCCCTGTTCCCAGCAAGCAAGAGTGCTACAGAGTTAAATCAGAAGCTGCATAGTGAAAAGCCTGTTCAAAAAGGGCACAGTTTTTGCCCCATCCGTTCATCACCTAAATTTTCAGACATAGACAGAGATGTAATCCAGCACAGTGTCATCTTTCAGACAATCACAATTAAGATTTGCATGGACTGTTGCTATAGAGGCACGGTTCACCCCCAGAAGATATAAACAATTTTCCAATGGGCAACGGAAAACAAATGATGTTCAGTGAAGACAAATTCCAACTACTCCATTATGGAAAAGGAGGAGATAATAATCAAACTGAATATACTACAAACTCTAAATTAAATAGAACGAAAAATTTGGGACCTGGAGTGGTAAATGTCTGAGGATCTCACTTTCAAGGATCACAACGTGCCCAATCACACTGCAGGAAAATTTAGATGGATATGAAAAGCTCAAACAGAGATGCGAGCCTTGTTCCCTGGCTGAACACTGTGCACAAAACTTTCGTAAAAGCGGCAAACTGAGATCTGAGAGTGACAGAGACTTTACTGAAATATAAGTTCCTCAAACCTAACTACTGGGAACATTGGAGCACTTGATTTTGTTACTCACGAAATGCAGGGAGAGAGTTATCTTTAATCTACATTTTTGAAAATCTAAAGGGAAATCTGCACACAAAAAACTCCCTATGAAAGTAAAAAACTTGCAGTGTGCAAAATACCCAAATAAAAAAGTAGGGTGCCATGGTACAAAAAGAGAAAAAACCTAGTGTTGGGGCCCAAGACTTTTCAACAGCTCCCACCATGCATAAGGGAAATTCCAATAGGCCCCTGGCTGCCTTCAAGAGGGAGATGGACAGGCACTTAAAGTTGGTGCCACATCAGTCCGACTCGTGTTTGTATGTTGGACTACGTGCAGCCAGCATAACAACCCGATTGATCAGGCCTTGATCCACCGGGAGGCCTGCTTGTGGACTGGGCTGCATTATTATTATTATAATCAAAAAAGAAGCGCTAAGCCACAAGGGCTATACAGCGACTGGGCTGCAAGGGCGCTGCTACCTCAAAACCCTCCAGGTAAATCTCCAGCAGGTAGGTGGTTAGTCAATGGCATGGCAACATCCTGGGTGAGCACTAAACCCATAATGATTATACAGCACCAGTGGAGGAGGGGTGGAAGGCATTTTGGCTCAATTCAGTTAAGTGGAGCACAGATCCAATTCCCTTGATCAAGAGTCCCTCCGCCGCAGCATCAATTATTAATAAATCGAGGAGGAATCGCTAAACCCGTAGGATTATACAGTGCCTGTGGAGGGATATTACCTGGAGTTTACCTGGAGAGAGTTCCGGGGGTCAACGCCCCCGCGGCCCAGTCTGTGACCAGGCCTCCTGGTGGATCATAGCCTGAATCACCGGCTGTTGCTGGCTGGCTGCCACGGACAAACCAACGAACGAGCCACAGCCCCGGCTGGTCAGGAACCGACTTTAGGTTGCCTTGTCCAGTGCCAGCTTCAGACTGCCTAGGGGTCTGTTGTAATCCCCTAATGTATGCTGGGAGCAGTTGAACAGTTCTCGGGCCCCTGACACTTATTGTATGGTCTCTTTAACGTGCCTAGTGGACACCCCTGCTTTACATTGGGGGGATGTTGCATCTCTGCCAGATGTCTTTTGCTTTCGTAAGTGTGTATTTTCGTGTGCAAGTTCGGTACTAGTCCCCACTAGGATTTTCCAGGTGTATAATAATCATGCATATCTCCCGCCTGCGTTCCCAGGGAAAACAGGGTTTAGACCTCAATGCTCCCATATTGAGGTGTTTTATCTTCCGTTATGCGCACCGTGAAGGTTCCCTTGTAAATTTCTTAGGTTAGCAATTTTCACCCGCCTTGAAAGTTGCTGTTAGTGTGCAGCAAATCCAGCTAGATAGAACAAGTGACCTGAGAATTGTCATCATTGAATCTGGATATGGAAAGTATTACAGGTTTTAATTCGGCCACTAAGCACAGATCCAATTCCTAATCAGAGCCCACTCACCATCATCAAGAGGACCCTTTCCTGATGGGTCCACCAGCATCAAGGAACTTCCTGATTATTATATAATACAAAAGGAAGTGCAAACCACAAGGAGCTATATAGTGACCTATCCTTGAGGGTCACCCAGCATCAGGGAACCTCCCATGATTATTTAGATAATCAATATATTATTATTATAATCAAAAAAGAAGCCGCTATAAAGCCACAAGGACTATACAGAGCGTGCAGGGCAGGAAGAAGCGGGGCATCAGTGGCAAGAAAGGGAGATGAATTAGTAATAGTTACGGAAAACAAGCGGGCAGTGGATGGTGAAAGGTAAAGGGCAGCAAGAGACAGAACTAGACAGGCTGAGGGGAGTGCGAAAAGTATCATCAGATTTGTGGAGTAATCAGTG